GTAGTTAATAAACAGTAAAAGTGGAACGAAGCTTTGCTGCTTCCATTTGCTCCCTTCAAACCTGGAGCAGCTTCGGGGTGGTTACCTGTGGGCTCCCCAATTGTCCTGGCATTAAAGGCAGAAAAAAGACAGATGGGAGATGATCAGCTTCATCCAGGTCCCCCAGCTCTGTGCCTCGTTGGGTGGGCACTGAGGACCAGCAGCAGGATGTGAGGGGCAATGGGGCTTCTTCTCAGCGCTGCGAGGTGGGAACAGCACGTGCAAAGCATCCAGCACCAGCTCTGCAAGCGTGTTAAGCAGCTGATGCCAGTTGGCAACTGGTTCACATGGAAAGATTAGAAAAGGCAAATCCTTTGGAGAGAAATCCTTTTGCTTTAGGAAGAAAAAATACTCCTTGCCCTATGTCAGGGAAACCCAGAGCCTGTGTGTGTGATGCAGGCAGGGGAACCTCTGCTTTGCTTCCCTGCTGATAACCTGGGAGGACGACAGCCTGTCTTTCTTCACTGCAGGTTTATTTTTATTGCAACTGAAGCAGAGTTTATTTTAACCCCCATGGTGCATATGGATCCTGAGGGGAGCTCCCTGAGGTGGTGTGAGATATGGGCATGCTCCTGCAGGTCCTGTTGCCGGAGGTTGTTGGAGGGGTGGTTGCTGTACAAGCAAAGCATGTGGCATGTGCTGCTCTGCTGGGAACCGAGGTGAATTGGGTGTGATCAAAATACACATGGAAATAAAAATCCCTGGCCTGCCAGAGCAGCTGGAGCACCCAGGGTGAGCATGGAGCCAGGGCAAAGAGGGGCAGCTCTGGAAAATGGACAGCTCGGCGTGCTGGTGTGTTCCTGATCCTCAGTTATTGTGGAAATTGCTGGTGGGAGGTGAGTTTTCCCTTGTGAGCTCTTAGGCAGGACTATCTCGCCCATCTCAGCCAGCACAGCGTGTTCTCATGGCTCACCGAGGGGCAGCACTGCTTGGGGCTGTGGTGGCCCCTGCAGTGAGGAGCAGCAGGATGGGGACCGTGTCCTTCGGGACCTCCTGCTGTGCCTGTGGAGGAGGGAGCTTCCTGGGCGAGCCCCCCATGATTCATGGCACATCATCCCGGGAGGAGGTGGTGAGACTGAATCAGTGGTGCCTGAGGACACGCGCAGGCGATGAACGTGAGCGGCTCCAGCCCCCTTGTTTTCTCTGGCGTCTTCCTTCCTTCCCTGCACCCACCCACCTTTGCTGTGCTTGGTGTGAGATGATGGGGGGGAATTCAGCTCGACGTGGTGCTGAGCAAACTGGATGGAGCCCCAACCCTTTCACTTGGGCTGAAGCTCATTTTTGGTGACCGTGGGGAGCAGCAGTGCTGGCTGGAGCCCACTTGCTTTCCAGCCCCGTTTCTCTCACGTGGAGGAGCTTGCTGGGGTTTGGGTTTGCTGGGTGGGTGCTGTCCCCTCGCAGACACCCCGATGAGCTGGTTTGTTTTCTGCTGCTTCCAGGGTTTGTCTTTCAAAGCTGGTGAAAAGCTCAGAGCTGCTGTGGGACCCTGGGGAGGAGCATTTTCTGCTGGGGGGTACCCGAGCACACAGGGGCAGGGGCTGCAGTGGCCGGATTCGGAGCCCTCAGCTTGAGGGTTTTAGTGGAGCTAATGAGCGTGTTTAGTTTTGCATGTAACTAATTTCTCTCGCAGCGTGTAACGGCTCCTGGGGGAGCTGGGCTGA